TACAATTTTTTCAAAAAACACATGTTAGCAATATTGGGAAATAACAATAAAAATGGATTAAATCAAAATCTGAAAATACTTACTAATTCTCTCTCATCCATACCCCGGGGCACATATCCTTTTTGCAACTCAACCGGTGTTGTGGTCGCATGGAGTATTCATCTTCGGGTTATCCCCCAATACCAAATGTAGTAATCCGATTTCCTGGGAGTTGGTTCAATTTGCTCAACAATACAAAAATGCCTATCATTCCATCTGTGTATATAATTTTGATGCTCAGTTGCCTAGTCTTTTTGTTGGTCTCCTTTCTTTGCATTCCTCTCTATTTCTTCAACAAATTCCGGAACATGTTGTGCAAGACTAAATTGTCGAAGCACGCGGTCCGGTACATGCATTTCTACTATCTTGAAACATATTAGAGGAACTCTGGCTCTCCATGTAACTAGGTATTCTGTGCATACCGGAGGTAGATGATTGAGAAATTGGGTGTAGGGCTCACATTCCATCTACAAAGTATTTCATATAATTATTGCATATCATTAAAACTAAATTTGATATATAGAAGAAAAAGCTCATTTTTATAAAAATGATATCTAGAAAATCTTCATACGGTCAAGCTCATATCGGTAGAAATCTAATTGTCTAGCTGGAGTCACGTCATAATATTTTTGGACATTCCATCTGTGTTGTTTTTAAAATTTAGTACCACAATGATAACTACAATTATATTTTCTACGTTAAAAAATATAATACCTGCATCCCAGTGGAATTTGTCCATCTAATTGTAAATTCACGCATAACCTCGGCTTCAAATAAAGTCTCTCCCATGCCCATACTTGTAGTAAGCTTAGACAACCTTTGAAGTCACTGTTTTTCATGAATGCCACTTTGGACATCTCTCTATATAAGTACACCAAAACGGCACTACCCCACGATAACGTACCACATGTGTCCAAGTCCTCGAGTAGTGGCAACCACCTAGCATATTCACAACATTTCAGTTTATTAAAATAAGCTAAGTCAATAAAATACGGATTCAAATTATAAATACACATACCTCGTATGCACTTTATCTTTACTCGAATTTGAAAATAATATAGAACCGATCATGTGCATAAGGTAAGCACGTGCATGTTGCTCAATCAATATTTGTGGCACATCAATAGGCAACGGTACTGAGAAGGTCTCTTTCAACCACTTCAATTTAATATATCCTTGAGGCATTGACTCTGGAGCTACACTTAACAACTCCTCACACCTAGTCGGCCAATGATGTCTATCACTGCCGGTAACGCATGGACCATCTATGCAGAGACCGAGTATCATCGCTACATCCTATAGAGTAATGGTAGACTCTCCTATTTGGAAGTGGAAAGTATTGGTCTCCGATCTCCATCTATCTATCAAAACGGTGAGTAGTGGCCAATCGAGATTCATCCAACGAAGCTTTGAACATATCAAGAAGTCGGTCCGTCCTACAGCTGCTATGATACGCTCATCCTCTAGACGCCAACAGCTATGGCCGAGGCTATGATCAACCATAACGATATTCGAGCCTCTCTATAGAGCAAATAAGAGTATAAGAATGCAATATTATAAGAATGCAATATTGCAATGATAATAATATGCAATTATTAGAAACTTAATTACCTCTGTAAAGGACATAATATGTGAATGATGTTGAGGCGGGTCATATAGGACCTCATCACTAACCGTCCCAGGTTGCATGGTGAAGATACCTGCACATACAATTATACGCATATCAATAACCGATCAAATACTAATTACATCTTCTTCATTAAAATATATCAAAATTTGAACATGTCAATTATTACCAATTAGTTGCTATCTATTGGGTCTAGCTGGACAACGAGGTCGAGTATGTCCTGGTTGTTTGCAAAGACTATATTTTTTATGCTTGACAACTCCTTCTCGCCCTTGATCCATGGTCCCCCTAATTCGTACAGATCGCGGTCGACCTGCTTGCCTCTTGTATTGAGGTGGAAGTAAATGTGGTCCTTTTTATTCGGGCCAATACCGACTATCATCGGGTGGATAAAAACTCTCACTATAGGTCTTTCGGTAGTGAATTATTGAATACCAAGGCGAACAATACCGATTATAGGGAATTCTAGCACCTCCCGGCTGATTGGAAGAAGATGCAAGAACATGTGCACAAAGTATTTTTTGGAGCTGTGGTATGTTACATGTGCAAGTGCAATCAACATCAAATAGTTTAACGGTGTAGATACTGTCATAATCCTATACCTACCATTCGTTGTCATTGAATATAGTAATTGATATAATCTTGTCGCCTCAATTCTTCTATGCAAAATAGACTCATTTTTTTGGTGTGTAACGGGTTGTCCAGTCTACGTCATCATCACGCCTTTTGTTGAAGTATGCGTTTAGTCTATAGAACATTCTCGCAATCAAAGATTGTATTGGCATAACTTGTGCTTCTTTAAGAACGCCTTTAAAGCTCTCGGAGCAATTAGTTGTCATCATGCAAAACCGCACACCATCAACCTTACATAATGCCCATCAATGCTTGAATTGAGGCTTCAAGTTATTTTCAATCCAATTATGTGCATCTAATGATAAAATTTTATTTTTCTCCCTACAATGTTTATATACTAATGTGTTGGTTGCACACCCAGCTTGCCACAAAAGATTTTACAAATTAATCTCACCGTGTTTTTTCTTGAAATTATCTCTTATATCACCCAGCTTGCCACAAAAGATTTTACAAATTAATCTCACCGTGTTTTTTCTTGAAATTATCTCTTATATGCCTCAAACAATATCGATGGTGATGTTAATCTCACCGTGTTTTTTCTTGAAATTATCTCTTATATGCCTCAAACAATATCGATGGTGATGTGGTGTACTAAAACCCTCATGTAACATCCTTATAATTCTTTTCATCCTATCCGATATAAAGGTAATTATTCTTGGCGCATAGACACTTAGAATCCACTTGTATACAAGTTCAAAGAACCACTTCCAACTAGAAGTATCCTCTACCTCCACGACTGGAAATGCTAGAGAAAATAAACCACCATTTGCATCTACACCGGTCGCCACAAGAAGCACACCTTTGTACTTGCCATATAAATGTGTACCATCAATGCTTAATAACGGACGATAAAAAGTGAAGCCCTTAATAGCAGGACCAAATGCCCAAAATACTCGAGTGAACCTCTCCATCCCTGGTGCAATCTCTTTGGACAATATTTCATATTCAGTACCCGGATTATTTCGCTTGATAGCTTCAAGATACCATGGAAGTAATTCATAAGATTTTTCCTAATCTCCAAATATTTTAGACAACACTTTCCTCCTTTCATCATATGTCTTATATTTAGATATCTTAATGCCCTGCATGTTATATACCCTTTGAAATATCTGACCTGCATTTAGATCAAGTTCAGCTCTAACTTCAGGCATAATTAGCTTATATATATATAAGAAGAAGATGCAGCATAATCATCAACATCCACCGACAGATTACAACATGTATGAAGTCCGTAATATCTAGATATTACAAATTGCCCATTTGATGATTTTCTCACAGCTACATTTAGCAACCAAGGACATTTCTTGTTTCTCTCATCTTGCTCATTTGCATGCTCTACTTCAATCTTCTCGTTAATGTAACATTTCACATGGTAGTTTGTTGCATTAGTTTTTACCGGCTTGAATTTAACCCGATTCTTGATGGACCATTCTCGGATTGCAAAGATCAACGCCTCCTTGCTCTCAAAAAGATCCCCTTTTTTAAAAGTAAAGTCCTCAGGCCGTTAAAAATTTAGACTAACATCAACAAATTCAACTTGAGAAGTATTTATCCAATCCTCATTATGAAACTCGTCAGGCAACTGATCTTCAACTTCTACATAATCATTGTTAACATTAAATTGTTTCATCCAACGGGAGTCATCATCGATTCTAGCTGCCACATGTATGCTATCAATTTGCATGCCATCTTCTTCAATATGATCTGAGTTATCATTTGCTTCTTCTTCTATAATTGATCCGATCGGGAGGTCACCCGTAACATGACCCGAAGCGTCGTTAAATATAGTACTTGACATCCCACCAATAGAATGCCCGCTTAAATGTTATAGTTGAAATCACGGCTCTTGACTTGGAGATGTCATAAAACCACTCGACTCATTGTCTAAGTCAAGCATCCGAGAAAACTCTATAAAACCACTCGACTCATTGTCTAAGTCAAGCATCCGAGAAAACTCTCCTTGAGGTCGTGAAACTTGGGCAAATTCAAGCATCCGAGAAAACTCTCCTTGAGGTCGTGAAACTTGGGCAAATTCCTGAATCAGATACTTCTCAATGAATAACTCAATTGACACTTGCTTCTCGACTAATTGTTTCATGTCATTCAATTCCTCATTATCGGTAATCTTCACCGCAATAGTTCTACTTTCATTTAATGGACAATTGAAGAACACCTTAATTGCATGCTCTACTTTATTAATTTCAGTAACTCTGTGTATTTACTTCATCATTCCATCAAATTACACGATTTAGATAGCATGAACATTTTTCTAGAACCTCCCTCATACATAGGCATATTATTCACTCCAACGCTGATGCTCCTATTGAAGAAGCAAGTAATGGGTATAAAGTTTGCAATTGAAACTGAAAATTAGCAATTCATCATATGTAAATAATCTATTATAACTGAAAATACTATTCATCAAATTATTCATCATTATTCATAAATACGTAAATAAATTTAATACCCTAATCAATCCCAAATAATGGCTAAACCCTAATCATTATTCATCATATGTAAATATTTGCTAAACTCTAACTACCAAATCACATTATTCATCATAATTCACAAAATAAAAAATAAAAATTTTCATATCCAAATTCATCATAATTCATCAAAACCCTAATCCTACCCAATTCATACCCCTCATCAAAATTAACAACAAAATTAAAAAAATTAAACCTTGATCGCAGCTTGGTGGATGCGGTCGGCAACAGTGACAATCACGAGCTTGCTCGAAGGCGGCGGCGACTATGGTCACGAGTTTGGTCTGAGACGGAGGCGGGGTCGCGAGATTTGGGGCGGAGAGGTGAGCTCTTTTGCGGGGTCGGCGAGGTTGACGGGGTAGAGGGAATAAGGTAGGCGGGGTCGGTGGGGTAAGTGAATGAGGGTTTGGGATCTATCTGGGTGAGGTTAGGGTTTTTGGGGGGGGGTCGGTCACAGACGCCACAAGAGAGGGTTTGGTGGGGTCGGTGACGGGGGTATTAAAGTGGACTATACGGGACTAGTAGTCTCGTGCAGGGACTAGTAGTCCCGTGCAATTCGCAAAAAAACTTTTGCAGCAAAACCGCCCCTTTTCATCTGAAAAGGTTCAGTTTTGCTCATTATTTTTTCAAAGGGTCGGTTTTGCTTAATTAATTTTCAAAAGGGGTGTTTTTAAAAATTTGGCGGACCAATTTTAAAATATTAAAGATATAAGGAGACCGGCTACATGGGAAAAATAGAAGATTTAAGGGATAAATATTATTTTTCCGAGAAACCCTTTGCGACTAATATTCAAAATTTCTTATATTTTTCTTAGGTTATTTGCATATATACTCCTTAAACTATGTATAATTTGCAAAGCTAACCCAAGTCTTAGAATTTGCAAAACTACCACTCAAATCACCACCAATTCGAAACCCAAATCATTACATCATCAACTTTTTACTCATGAAGTTGATGATATTTTTGATTAGGCGTATGTTTTCCATCCAAAATTGATGATTTTGGGTAGTTTAGCAAATACTAATTTTTTTTGTAGCGTAGCTTTGCAGATATCATGACTAAGAGCAAGTCCAGCAAGCTCCCACCCCACCTCCTAAGGCTGAGGTGGCGGTGGGAGCTTGCTGGACTTGCTCCAGCAAGCTCCCAAGGGAGCTCTGAGAGCTTCCGTGGCACAAAACCTAGGGTTTTGTGCCACGGAGCTGTGCCACGGAGCTCCCAAGCGCTCCACAAATTTGTGGAGCGCTTGTGAGCTCTCAAGCAATTAAAAAACATTTTTTTTTTACAAAAAACTCCTTGTTTTTTTATCTTTGCAATAGAAGAGAGGTTTTTTTGATAGGTTTTTTGATAGAAGAGGGGTTTTTGATATTGTTAGAGCTTCTAACTAGGAGCTTGTTGGAGCTCCATAAAATAAGGAGATGCTCCCAAGGCTTATTTTTATAATTTTTTATACCAAAATGCTTAAGAGCTCTTGAGAGCTTGCTGACTAGGACTCCCAACTGGGAGCTTGCTGGACTTGCTCTAAGAGGTATATGTATATGCGAAGAACTCATTAACTATTCTCACTGTAACTTTTTCCGGGTTTATATCGACCCGACCCGATAACAATCAAACCTCCACTTACCTTTTAGTTCCGATTCCCCTC